TTAGAAAGTAAGTGAAGTACTAATTAATTCTAAGGTTTCAAAAACCTAATTGAATTAAGGTAATTCAATTACTGAAAAGTAATTTAATTACATTTTCAACTCTTTTAATTCAATTATTTGACAGCTCTGACCTTAAATTATCCCTCCTGTTTTATGAACCTGTCAACCATTATTACCTTCATCTTGGGTTTGCCTTTCCTAACACCTATAACAACGTCCAAATTAACATTAAACCCCCAATGGACTATCCCTCTTACAACCTGTAACACCTAGTTCCAAACAGTTCAATATTTACAAGCCAAGAACCTTTCCTGTCATTTCTTGTTTTTCTCCACTGACAATTAGGGCCGTCGAGAGCCAGGTGGGCCCCGGAACAATTTTCCAGGTGGGGCCCTGCGACAATTTTATAAAAAAATTAAGCTCTTCTAATATCACAAAAAAAAGGTCCTCATTTTTATGACGATCTTCTAAATAAAATAAAACGTCCTCACCTAAAGCTGCCTTGTGCCACTGCCGGGCACCCACTTGTACCCGGGCCACAGGAATTTGTCCCGACTACCCCCCTCTCGTCGGCCCTGCTAACAATCAATAATTCATCAAAACAAAAACATCTCCCCGACCTACTATAATTTCTACCCCACCCCGATATTGCTCTTGCATAATTTTGACATAATCTTTATAGGTACCTATAGGTACCTATATAATTTCTAATATATTGATCCACTAATTTTTTATGTAATAAATTTAAATTCAGTATAATAGCTATTCATTGGCGTAGCTGGGAAGGGGCCAGGGGGGGGCCTGGCCCCTATTGATGTACCTCTGGCCCCCTCTGAAAGATTTAAATAAAAAACTGCGTATCAAAAAAACGTAGTAGGTGAATTTACTTACAAATATTAAGAGACCTCAATATTGTCCCCAGATAGTTGAAAAATCTGTCCTATACTCGTTGGGTGTGTCGATATAAGACTTGCCACGCTGTTAAAACATGTTTCGAGGAATTGTCAATGCTTTGAAAAACGAAGTTTCTAATAAAAATGATAAATAGTCAATCACAGCAAACGGCATATTATCCAGCATTAAACAACCTTCATTCATAATTCATCTTTTTGTATTAGACGGGATACTAAATATCTTAAATTTGTTTTTGAAAAGCTTTCAGGAGAAAGGTGTGACTCTGGGGAAAGCAGTTAACGCTATTAAAAGCATCATTAATTCACTAGATGAAATGAGAAACGAAAAATACTATACTTGACCTTCATTTAAATATTTCGGACTTTGCTGAAAAATATCAAGTATCATTGGAAATTCCCTCATCAAAACGAAAAAACCAAGTCAGTGGCAAGCTCGCTGATTTCGTCACCGAAACAACTATGGGACTAGGTTTGATAGACGCCACAAGCTCGAGAGCTAATATGGGAGTAATTGAGTATTGGAGGGCAAACATTTTCTACCGAATTATTGATCTGTAAAAGGGTTTTTTAAACAAAAGATTCTCATCAGAAAGTATGGTGCTTGCCAATTCTGTGTATAATTTTTTTTCAGTTAGATTTTGAAGGTCCAGCGGCATTCATTTAACAATACCGTGAAATTTTGAATATTAACTCTTCTGTCTTAAGGGCAGATATTACCGTTTTAAAAAACTATATTTTTCAATTTAAAGAAACTGTTGGCTATGATTCTATCAAAAAACACATAACAGAATCAGAAAAAACAAACCCAAACGTCTATCAACTTTTTACAGTTGCGATTATTCTACCTATTTCAAGTGCGACGTGCGAGGGGTCGTTTTCTGCCATGAGGAGGATTTTTAATTGGTTCAGAACGACCATGATTCAAGACAGATATTCAGATTTGTCTTTGTTGTTCATAGGAACAGATGTTGATATCGACTTTGATAGTGTTATAGATTCTTAATAAATGTATTAGTTATATTGAAATATTAAAACCACTATTCACTATTATAACATATTTTTGTACAGTTCATTGCACCGCAATCAAAAAAATATATATTTTAATCCAACGTACACCTGGGGCCACGCCCCCCCCCTGAAAACTGAGGCTAGCTACGCCGATGTAGCTATTTATAAAACCAGTTAGGAAATGCCTTATTTTATGTAACGAGTGAATATTTGCAAGACGAGCCGAGCGAGACCACACAACATGAATGAGTTACATAAAACTGCATTTCGCATAGCGTTACATACAATATTTTTTCTAATTTTGACTATATTATTTATAAAATTGTGTTTTGATAAAACATTACTAACATATAGGCAACTAATATTACTTTCTTCTATTGTTAGTTGCATATGCATCATTTTATTAAGGAATAGAACATCATATTAATTATTTATTCTAAACGACTTGTATAGTGTATTCATATAGCTTATTAATGTTATTTAGTTTTAAAAAAATGGGTTATTTTGCGGTATATTGTGCTTTATTTATTTTGTACTGATTTAAAATTGAAAATGAGGACCAAAACAACATTACTACTAGGTTATAAGATTAACCAAATTCTATTTTTATGAGTCAACCTACCCTTCTTTGGTATAAACTTTGCAAAAAAGGTATATTTTTGTTTGTTTTCTTTTCGTAACTGGTGACATAAAAATTTTTCGAACATTATGCAACTGGTTGCGTAAAGTAAATAATTTTGACACTTGCCACGATTACAACAAATATCACTTTATATGTCAAAATTTAGAAAAAAGTATTTTTATTTTAAAAAGCACATGTAAATAATGAAATTGTGTCCACAATACATACACATTCATATAACCTAAAAACAATGAATGGTGGGTAGACTGCCCAAACTAACCAAATCTAACCAAATAAGTAATTTTGAGTGTTTTGTTTTGTATTTCTTCTGCTGATGTTGGACAGACACCTTTCGATTATTATTTTTGGTTGATTGTAAATTTCTGTTGTTTTTCCCATTATTTCCAAAATTATTATCTAGATTCTTCTCCTCTAATTTCGTTTATTATTTATATACAATTGATTTTTGATGTTTTCAAAGGAGATTGGTTTTTCAGAATGTTTGTTGTTAATTTAAACTGGACAAATTCGACAAGCATGGGTCTAGGATTACCAGTTTTTTTTTTTAATTTGGTGTCATCGGCGTCGACTACTACGGCCATTAACCTCGTGTTCTGTGTAGGCTTTGTTACTGTTTTCCAGCGCCACTTTAAGAACAGCACTGTTAATTAGAACCCAATAGTGAATGGTCGAGTGGGGAATCCTACCAAAGTTTACTTTCCCTATACTGTAAATGTCTCGAATATCATAAAATTTGCATTCATTATTCAAATTCGTATTTATCAATTTATTTCATTGACATCTTATAGATCACCGTCGTTTTCACTCAAGCCATATATTATTAAATTGTATTTTTTTGACTTCCTTTCTTTTTTCAATACTCTCTTTTTTATAACATTCAGCTGTATTTTCATATATGGGTATTCTCTGTTTTCAAATTTTCTATTTCTTTGTTTAAATTTACTCTTAAAGTAATAACTTCCTTTTTTATTTCGTTATTTTATTTTTTTTGCAGCTAGTTTTAATTTTTTTAAGAGTTGAAATATATCTGCATTTGTAATGGTTTTTTCTTTTATGTCAACCATTTGATTTATTTGAATTAATATAATATTTAAGCTGCCCAGTTGGATTTTACCGAAATATAATATTTTGCCAAAAGCGATTTCTGCCAATTTGCCTTTGTTTCAATATGCAATTTCTACTTTTAATATTATTATTTTCACTAATCAAAAGTGATTCCAGCATTATATATTTGTACGTTACCAGTTGCAATTTTAGAATTTTATTTGACTTTTTAACTACTTACTAAACAACTTCTATGCGTTTCAACATTTGTGTCGTTGGTTTATATTAGTATATTTTTGAAGAACTTTATAAAGAATTCGAGAATATTAACTACATCGCCCCGTGTATTGCCAAATGTATTTTTTTCAAACAAATTGTTCTAGTGACTTTTTAAAGCTTAAAGTCTCCTATTTTGCGGTACATGTTCTTTTTTTTACAGCTTTAAAAGGATCTGGTTTTTATAAAAATATAGAAACTCGCCAAAAATACTTTAACCAAATCCCTTGTTGTCATCGTTGTCCTGCTTTTCCCCTTCGTACAACTATGAACCCTACCTTTATTTACTTTTAACAAGTATTAGAAATTAAAAATTTAAAAAAGCCGACTTCAAAAACGTGCAGATGTCATTACCACATCTTAACCAAATTTTTATGAGACCGCCCCTGGTACCCTCTTACTAACAAAAAAAGAATCATATAAATGTTACAAGGTGGTAAAGCATTATCGCTAAACATACATAAAAAATGAAGAGTTTGAGGATTTTCTCATGGATCCAATTATTAGATTTTGATCAAATTTGTATGGGACGACCCCTAAAGTACCCCCTTTCTAACAAAAAAAGACTCATTGAAATCGGTCATTGTGTTAAAGAATTATCGCTGAACATACATAAAAAAAAATATTGCGACGAATTGAGAACCTCCTCCTTTTTTGAAGTCGATTAAAAAATGTGGCAATCCTACACTGAATGTCTTAAATCTAGTCATATGATAAGATTAAGTCATCCATGGAGACTTTTAATCAGGATATCAAGTGTAAACATATAAAAAATTCAGACACTGACAGTGATTCCGTTTGCATAAGAAAAGTGTGGGGTCCGTTAGATAAAATAATTTTCTGATTTTTTTTTTTTAATATTTTTAGTAGTTACCTATTTGTTCTTCCCCTTTAACCCATCTTCAAATCACATCATATTAAATCGTACAACTAGCGTCCTCTATTCTCTAGAGGCAATATTAAGTAGTGAACGTTATGATATTGATTTTTCCCTTTTTTTAATGACCATATGAAATCTGTTTGTTACTCATTTATTGATTAGTACTAGATTTAAACATTTCGTTCCTTCATAGCAACTTCACTCATTTTCATTAATTTATTATAAATATTTGTTTATTGCCTATTACCTATTTATTCTGAATGAAAACAAAAATAAAATCTATTTTATGTACAATGTAATAACGCCATCTAGTTAAATTTGCTTAGACTTGAAGTTGAAGTTAACTATTGATTATGATGAATTACGAAATTTGTTTATATATGAGTGGAAGAATAAAAATGAAAATATAAAGTAATACAGAGACAAAATGCCTTCAAATGCTGAAAGTGGTCTCCAACCAAATGAGGATAGACCTCATACATTGTTTGTTGCACCAATAGATAATTCATCTTGGCCTGCAGGACCTCATAATATTTCTTATACTATTCCTTCAGGTTAGTGAAATTATAATTTTTTTGGCGAAATCATTCTAATTTAATAATTATTATGTTACTAATAAAATCTGTAATTGAGGAGTGATCAGACAAAATCAGATAACGTGCCAATAGCAGGTTCTTTATTGTATGTGTAAGATATTATATTACGGGCTTCGTACACAATAATTTTGTTTCTATTTCTTAATTAACAATAAGAATTATTAGTGAGTACAAATGTAATTTATCTGATTTTGATTAAGTTGAAAATAAATATTTAATTTCATAATAAAAAAATTAATGTAGGTATGTATTTAATAGCATATCTTTTAAGTTAAAAATAGTATATTTTCTTTATTTATACATTTTTCATATAATTATTATTTTACTCACTTAAATATTTTTTAAAACTTTTTATTACATTTTGAAAAACAACAAAATTATATTTTCACTTCTATGATTTTCACACGTTTATTTTTATTTACAAATACTTCAAAAAAAAATACATAGCAATTTTTTTTTGTAGATTTAAAAATATACCGGGTGTTCAAATTAAAGTGTTACAGCTAAATACCGCCTATTATAAAAAAAAACGTTTCAGACGAAAGTATTATAGTTTTGTGGGGAAAAATTTAGGCTAAAATCGTTTTTTATAGCTAACCATAATATGGCCAACTTTTTTTTTCGTCCAGCAAAATTTTCAAGTAGCTATTACTTAAAAAGTAAAAGTCGAATAAAAAAAATATTTCCATCAAAAGATTCTTATTTTTTTTATGTATTTTAAGAATATGTAAAAAAATGGGACTACCATTTAAAAAAAAAAAACAAAGTCTACCTCGATATTTTTAATTTACTATTAGTCAATAAAATATAGTTTTGAAAGAAAATTTTGAACCATAGTAAAATTAAAAATAAAAATATGAACCAGAAATGGATTTATCTGGTTTTGTCTCGTTTTGTCTAATCGCTCTTACATTACAAAAATCATGATTCCTATACTTTCCTTATCTGTATACAGACAGACAAGTAAAAATAGAAATATCTTAATATAAAAATTATTTATTATATTTTTAATTTATTATTAGTCAATTAAATATATTTTTAAAAATAATTATTGAAAATTTTGGACCACTGTAAAATTAAAAAAATTCAAATATAAACCATTTTCACCAGGATTCAGTAATAATTATTATGAAAGTATTTAATTCTTTGTGAACCATAGAAAAATACAAAAATTTAAAAAAGGAATCATTTACACCAGGATACAATAATTATACGAGTATTTAACTCTTTGGTTCACTGTGTTGGTACTTTAAGTGTGGATCCATTAATATTTATATAAAGTATTAGATTAATTTTGGAGATTTTTTTCTTGAATTATTGAAATATATAAACCCATGAAAATATAAAAATAAAAGATATTTTTGCATTTATTTAATATCTAATATGGAGTGTTTCAAAAATAGACCCCGGAAAAAATCTCGCATATCGTCGCCCTAATAAGAAAAATGCCTATCTCCGTTTTGGAAAATTTTACAGGAGATAAGAAAATAGTATATTATTTAACAAGCGGTAATGCAAGTCATAACTCACGCAGATGAAATTTGCAGCACGAGCCGCAGGCGAGTGCTGTAATTCATCAAGTGAGTTATGACCATTACCGCAAGTTGAATACTATACTTTATCTACGACTATAGCAATAAGTACTAAGATACAAGTATCGGTAAAGAATTATATGATTGACTAGATGATAAAAACGTTTGAATCTTTGTAAAAGCTATTATCTTTGTTGCCAGATATTTCTTATCAGAAGCTTCATTTATGAAATTATTAAGTTGTTCTGGCGTAAATGTTTTTGCCTTTTTAGCTATATGTTTCTCTGATTGGCATTTAAGAAACGCACGTAATTTTGAGTAATTCTCTATATTAATTCCATTATTTATGTTGAATGTGCTTTTTAGCAAGGAGTAGAAAGTCCATAGAGACGATGCTTTATATTTATTGCTAAGTTCATTAAAATATGCCAAAGGTACATTTTCTGTAAACGAGTTACACCAATCTTGAAAATTTTAGTATGCACCTTTATACTTGTTTTTTGATTTTTCTGGTAATAAATTCTGTATTGTATTATTAGCTATCTCTCTTATTTCTGGAGGTGTACATAATAACTCATCTTCATTATCTAAATTCATCTTTTTTTAGCACTATTATTAGAAATTGATTTGAAAACGTCAAAATTTTCTTGTTAAAATATCAAATTACATTACTCCCTCAATGTAATAATTGACTGTTCCGCCTACTGAGAGCCGTTGACAATTTAATAATTTTAAAATATTTTAATTATTATTTATTCCTTTCCGGTTGTTAAAAAATCTTTCTAACATTTTACGCCAATAGACTTTAAAATTTCCAAGAATTTACTACGCACACTATTTACATACCGAATTATCGTAGAAGCCTAGCTTGAGTTATAATAACTCACTATTAAAACTCACGCTATTTGTTTATTGATTCTATTAATTACTTCAAAAGCAGTTGCATAATTAATATATAAATTAATAGGAGTAGATAAACTTTATTTTTTAACACATACATTACATTATTACTGTTCTTCTTCACATATAACACATATAACTTTGAATTTGACACACAAAAATCATTCCCACGCTTAAAGGTCTATGCCCACTACACCGGATCATACTATGACCGTGACCGTACCGGCATAGGCAGAAAAATATTCTTTGTATAGATTTAAATGAGACAATGCCCACTAGACCGGCCCGGCATCGACCACACCATCCTCATTTGAATCTATACAAAAAAAAAAATCAGGTCCGGGCACGGTCATAGTATGGTACGGTATAGTGGGCATAGACCTTTAGTGGATCTAGGCAAATTTCTATTATTTTAATTTAAAATTAACCGGTTAAGTTTTGTCAGAAGGTGGCTTAGACGTTATTCTAATAGATGGTATCTAAATCGAATTTTCGCAAAAAAGTGGAGTTAGGCACTTTTCTTATTAGGGCAACGATATAGGGGATTAAAATTCTTCTTTTTTTTGTTTCAATTTGGATTTAGTTCAGAGCCGTGCGTAGTAATCACGAACATGACTCGTATCTATCGTTTTGTCGGTCATGGCCTACTTTAAATAGTATATTACATTACGAGAGTGGAAGTAACATTTTTCACACGAGTGAGAAAAATCACTTTCACACAAGAGATGTACAATATTTTTCCTACGACCACAAAATAATTTTATAAAAAAAAATGTACAACCAGGAATATGTCAATGTTAATCAATATGTCAATATTGATTGAACAATTATTAGTGGCCCAGGAATAGTTGGGGTCCCACAAGGAACTATACTTGGACCGCTTCTGTTTGCTTTGTACATAAATAGTTTAAAACAATTAAAAAAAGAAAGTGTTATTAGTTTACACGTCGAAAAATGGGATTTCGTTAAAAGTATAAATTCAGAATGACTTTAAAAGTATAAAAAAATCATTTTAATTGGATAAACTATGAATATTGATAAAAATATATAATTACTAATTACGATAACTTATATTTAGAAACATGGTGGCCGTTTTGTGACTATTGGAAAGATCCGCAGCATATTCTTTATCAGTTGGCCAATTTTTGTTTCGTCCTTGCATATTCTTCTACATGCTCGAAAAAAGGGGTTTTATTTATGCATTGCTGGCTAATAGTTGGTAAGTAAATATACAGATACATGCTCTATAAGTTTGTTTCTGAAACAATATAATAAATTAAATAAACACAAAATGGTCATCATATACGAGCCCTAAACATCTAAGTTCAAACACCTAATATTTTAATTTCTCGCTATATTAATTTATTAATCAATAACCTGTAGCTTTTTAAAGCCTTTTTAAAGCTTTTTTAAACCTTTTATAATTTTTAAGCTTTTTAAGCATTTTAAGCATTTTTACGTTTTTTTAGGCATTTCTAAGCTTTTTAAAGCCTTTTAAAGCTTTTCTGGGCCATTTTAGCTGTTTTTAGCACTTTTATCTTTTTGTGTGTCATGAAGAAATTATCTTTTGCATATATACGTTATGTTGGTATACATTTTTTTAGATTTTTAAATGTTCATTAGATCCTATTGGAGTGAGTTCACTAACAGTACCTCGAGTATTACTGTAAATATTGACAGTTACATTTATATTTGAAAGATAGAGGAATCTGCATTTAAGTATTTGTGATCGTATCTCACCTCCAATACATATTAATACTGTTATTTTAAAAAAGTATTTCCCTTACAATATTTTTATGTACAATGTTATCCCAAAACATTTTAGAAAAATGTCTAAAGATATTTATAAAATGTTTACTCTTGACACAGCGAATATAACAATGTTCCTATTTTGTTCTCAATATCAGATATTTTTGTTCGATGTCCTGTGGCGTTAGCCATAATTAAGGACTTGTGGCTTTGATTAGTCGTCACTGTCCACAAGTTCTTTTTAAAGCTTTTTTTGGCTCGTCTTTTTCTCAAGTTAGTTATATGTGTTTGTATAAAAAAATGAAGTTGCAAATAAAGTTTATATTGAATATTATTATTATTTATACCTACCAGGTTTGATGCTTTTCTCGGCTTGGGCATGGAACGTCATCTGCGCTCCTGATGTATTCACCTGGAATTTTGCTTTTATGGTTATGAATATGGCGCAAGTGTTTCATATAGTTTATCAGCTTAGACCAGTAAAATTCGATCCAGAATTAGAAGAAGCTTATCACACATTAATTGAACCATTCAAGGTATAGAATACGAGTACTTTACAAATAGTCTATTACCTACAATATTCAATATTTATGAAAATTTAATCGAAAATATTTTTTAATTTTGAATGATTATATTAATTTGATTTTATAGATAGGGAGATTGCAATTCAAGAAGATGGTTAGCGCAGATTTTGCACAAATTATGTCTTTACATGCAGGCGAAGCGTATGCTGTACAGAATTTAACGAGGTGTGATAGGTTGGGATTATTGTTATCAGGCAAGGTAATCTAATTTATGTATTCTATTATATATCTTTCAGAATACAGAAAATCCCAATTTTAATTTTTTATAATAGTAGAATGCGACGTGAACGTTAAATGCTTTTAAAAAGATATCTAACAAGTCCACGCACTAGTTAATCTCGTCAAGCGTAATAAATGGAGTGCAATTAATCAAAGTCAATATTAAAAAAATAGTTCAGATGGTTTTTTATAGCCAAACATTATGAGTATCTGACAATGTATGTTTCGCAGATGAGTCACCTCAAATAAAAATTGTTATACTATACAAACAACACATCAATAATTAATTATGGTCGACCTACAAATAAGTAATTTGCAAAATAGAACCCTGTTTACTTTAGAAATGATGTCCTAAAATAATCTTTCGATCTACGGTGTACTCAGTCTAATCTCTCACTGTATTATTATAACTAAATTTTTTGAGAAATTCCACTAATTTTTTTAACAGATGTTCTTTGGAAGAAAGCATTTTTTTTTCAAATGTTTAAAATATGTCCATTTGTACCAGTAAAAAAAATTATCCTAAGAAGACAGAAATGATCCTTTTCACAAAAGGATGAAAATGGAATTAAAACCTCCAGAACTCCTAAACACAAAACTAAACTTTGCGACAGAGGTGAAGTACCTAGGTCTCACCTTTGACAGCAAGTTAACATGGAACTCGTATTTAGAAAACAGAGTTAAAAGAGCATACATTGCTTATAAACAATGCCGCCGAACCGTGGGACGCACCTGAGGTTTCTCACCCAGAGTTGTCGCATGGACTTACACGGCTATCATAAGACCTATGCTAACATACGGTGCAGTTGTCTGGGTACCGAAAACCCAAAAATTAACAGCTATCCGTAAACTAGAACAAATTTTAAGAATAGCATGCCTCATCATAACAGGAGCCATGAAAACAACGCCGACCAGAGCGATGAAAGTCATTCTTAGTCTCACTCCCCTTGATATTTAAATCAAAGAGGTTGCTCATCTGACGACAATGACACGCCTCCGCACGGTTGGAATAGAACCTGATGTAGGATATGGTGAGGCGAGACGTCACTTTTAGCAGGAGGCGCTCGATACGTTCCCACTGCTTCAAGCGAACATGGACTCCATCTCACCGAGATATATCTTCCATAAGCCATATAAAGTTATAATAGAAGAGCCAGAAGTGGCAGGTACGATTCATATCTACATCGACGGTTCTAAAATTCAAACAGAGCTAACGGGGATTCTCATAGCAGCAAAAGAAATAACCAGAAACAATATCACTGGACTGGAAGAAACATGCTCATATATACAGATAGCAGACAAGCACTACTCACCCTGAACAGACCACGAATTTATTCAGGGTTAGTACTAGAATGTCACGAAGCTTTGGCCGAAGTATCCATCAACAATGTGGTCACCTTAAGATGGATCAAAGGTCACGCCACATTGAAAGGTAACCGTCTTGCTGATTCACTAGCCAAGAAAGCAGCCAAATTACCATTCCGTTAGATAAAAAATTAACAATGCTTGATTGAAAGCTGCATACTTCAATTTTTTTCACTCCATTGTAGCAAAAAATCTTTAACTAAAAATAAATATACCCTAGATTGCCTTGTAGGTTCCTCGAAGCAGCTATGTATTATTATAATAGATATTTCAGTAGGTTTATTTTTTAGGTGAATGTTCTTTCCGATAATCAATTCCTGCATCCAATTCTTCCATGCGAGTTTCTAGATTCACCTGAATTCGAATCTAGTAGAAATACAGTGGATGACAAATTTAAGGTAATGTGTTAAATTTAATCTTGTAATTTCGTTTTTCTACTGGACTTTGTTAACTGGAATATGATTAAAAGGAACCAAAAGTGGTTAACGAATTAATTCACGCAACTTAGATCAGCAAAGAATTTTTTTTTATAAAAAAATACGTGTGGCACTCGGAGACTGCCGCGGTAAAGCTATTGCATAGCATTTTTCATCAAGTTATGCAATTATAATTATTTATTTATTTTATTTATGCAGTATTTTTTTTCTTTGATATTAATTCAAGTTACACTTTTTGAGCGTGGTGACCGATAAGAAAACAATTTTTTTCTTTTATTGAATAAATGAGAAGTTGATATTGTTTAAAATATTTTTATTATCTTACAATACATGTAGGTTATTCAGGATTTTTTATCATTGAAACTATAGGTTTATGGTAACTGAAATAAGAAACAAGTTTGAGACTTGATATCCTCTAAATATCTGGAAAATACCGCGTCAATGATGGTCCCATATTTTGTTGTGGATTCTTGTGGATCATTACTCCTTTTAAAATTCAATTTTTCCGAAATTGTGTCTAAAAGAGATAGAATCAGTTATGAGCAGTTAGCAGTTAGTCTACACGCATACGTCTAGTCGCACGCACACAAACACCTTGCCGAAGTCTGCCGAACTGAAACGACGTTAGACGATGCACGGTCGGAGTGGGGGGGGGGGGGGTGTTAGGTTTATTTTCGTTACGGTGTTACGGAATTTCTTGATTCGGTCGCCGCGCTCAAAGCCCGCGATAAAAGCTATGCAATAGCTTAAAAAATTGCATGAAATACAAGTCTTCTTTGCATATTTTATTATATTATTAATTTTGTGTTTTAATGTGGGCTTTTTTATTATTTTGTGAGCAGTAGTCCTAATATTTATAACTGCTGCTATTGACACGTTTTGGTAACTATTTTTAACCAAAACTTTGCATCTCATTCTCCAAACCTTGTTTTATAAATTAAATTCTATAATTGTTTCTTGTGTACTAGCAGGTATATCCATTTTTAGGTATCAATAGTTGCAGCCAGCACTTGTAGATACTTATTTTGGCAAAGAAGCTCTTTGGAGTACCTTTTTGTGAAAGATACGTACATAGCAACAGTTCTTACAACTCTAATTGCTCGAGATATTGCAACCAAATTATATGCCATGAATAATAAGATTGTCACAGCGAAAGGATCTCATCTAGATATTAGACTACCTAGTATAACTTCATCATTGACGTCAGGAGGAGAATATAAATCGCCAATCCGATCAAAAAAAGCAAACGGAGGTAATTATTAAATACCGTAAATTGTCAAATTCAATACGTGGTAGCTCTATGTCCTAGTAATTTTGGGACATCCTGTATATTGTTATGATTCCGTTAGGGTCGATGAATAATTCTAAATGGCTTTAAGGTTATGACGTCAATGGCAGTGGGATTTTAGAAATTAATAGGGTTATCAGGAGAAATGAAGATTACCCGATTGGTTTTAGATTGTCAGTTGGGAAATTTATAAAACAAATGTAGTTAGGGAATATTATATTGATATTATAGTTATTAACGTTATAAGGCCGATAAATAGCAAATAACAGCCAAGGCCATTATTTGCTGTTATCGGCAGTGTTTCGTTCAAGATTTTTCGTCATACTGCTACAAAAACAAAACACCTAATTTAAGAACAAATTTTATTAAACGTAACTCTTAAAAGATAGGTACGGAATAAAACAATTTATTCCTTATTGTAATGGATGTGGAAATTGAATTCGCAATTGGTGTTATTTGAAATCTGCAACCCGTCCCAAGGATATTTAGATTTTACAGAGGAAGATGTTTCTGAAGAATGTGAACTATTTGCAGTACTTGAAGATGCAATATTCTCCGGATTATTTGGAAAAAGTTGTTTTGTTATTTTCATTCTTTTAGAAACCGATTTTTCTATGTAAGTTTCCGCCACCGTTGATGATTCCCATCCTCCCAGTTCTTTTAATGACAGTAAGTCACCACCATTTTCTACGAGCATAGTTGCTGATGTTCTACGAAATGAATGTCCTGTATAAAGTTCGGGATTTTCAAGTTTTATAAAGGTGGCAATTTTCTTAGGAACGCTTCCGATGGTATGTATGCCGACGACTTGCTGCACACATTTGCCATTCCTCTAACCAACGAAAAATCTCTGATTTTTGAAACTAGGAGGACGCAGATTACTGTATTTCTTGTATAAACCATATGCATCAAATGGAAGTCCTGTTTTTGGGATAAGAAAATTTCTGTCTTTTTTATTCTTAGTATTTTTTAGTGATACGAGGATGTTTTTCTCTGTATCTTCGAAACTGTTAATGGTGAGAGACGTAAGTTCACTTCTCCTGCAAGCTCCTAGAATACCGAGCACTACACAACCTTTTCCAGTAGCCAGGCATGATCATCCGCGTCTAGCAAAAATTTAAGTATATCATTTTCCGATAGAACCTTGGCTTTCTTTGGGGTATAACCTTCCTTTTTGCGCCTCAGGAACAAGAATAGTTTACCGAATCTACAAACAAACATAATTTCGATGAGTATATATTAATTCGTTCAATGTTGGCGGATAGTATAGTATGTCAATGTTTTCATGTATTCTTAACGCAAGTTTCAGCATTGATATTTTTGTCCACAGTAATGTAGGAGAATACGTTTCAGACATTCCTTTTGCATAAGCTAGCAGTACTTCTTCACTTACACTATGTATGTTTTTATTCTGACGCCACTTCACGAAGTTGTCGTATTCCTGCTGATATCTTTGTTGGGTTCTACTCGGAAATAAATTTTTGGTTGCCGCAGCTGCTTCTTCCAGTACATCGGAGGGAATATCGTTTTCGAAAATTTCTTCCATCTTTGATCTTTTCCGCTCTATAATCACTCAACAAGAAACAGTACTGTCAAACTTACAATGTTTGTATAGTATATTGATGTGGTTGCTAGGCAACTTTAGATTGTTGTGATTGTTGTAGGTGGTGCGCGGCCGTTATTTTATTCAACGGCCGGCGGCCGTTAAATGCACTTTTTCGATATCAATTTCGCTCATATTATGGTAAGATAATAGTACAGTATGACGAAAAGATAATTAAGAGTACAGTTGAAGATTTTTATACGGTAGAGATGGAATAAAAGAAAGAATGAAGATAAGGTAAGAAAAGTTTTATTTAAATTGAAAATTGAAGTGTGAGTTGCATAGTAGAAAGGAAAGTTGTGCAGAAAAATAAATCATAAAAGAAAGTAGAGGAGATCAGGCAGTGAAAAAGGTTGGAATTAGAGGAAGAGACCAGAACATATAGAAAAGCAGAAATTAGAGCAGAAGGGAGGAGTATCAGAATAAAGAAGATGACCGGAATAATTTTTTAATTTAAATTCAAATTTTGTATTTAGATATTGATTTTTTTTAAATTATTATAGGATGCCATTGGAGCCACAACCCTAAAAGCTCTAGAATAGTTCTATCTTTCTGTGGTGAACCATTAGAATATATTTGAATATTAATTATTATTTACATTACAGCGAAGCAAATACTACTGTACTTAATGCTAAAGACTTAATTCAAAATATTATTTATGTATTTGCAATTTTCCATGTATTTCTTTTTTCACAGTAGTCTATGACATTCAAAAAACCAAAATCTTTAATATTAATCTAAATTTTAAAAGTTTGTAGCAAAATCTTTCTCATCAAATTGTAAACAACTTTTGAAAATGTCCGCACGATAAGTCCAAAACAAAAAATGATATCAACCTAATATTATCAGGAAAAATCAAGCTCTATTGATTTTGTAAAAATTTGAATAAAAATGGGTGAGTTAAGGGGGGTGAAAATATTAAAAAACATTCTAACTTAAAAATCAAAAATATTATCAACTGGAAAATTTTAGAAAAATCAAGCTTTATCTGAATTAAAATGAGGGCACTCAAGGGGGTTGAAACAATAAAAAAAAATCTAAATAAACGAAAAATAATGTCAACTTGAAATGTTTATGAAAAATCAAGTTCTATGAGATTTAAAAAAAATCTGAATAAAAATGGAGGAGGGGGGGTAAAAACGAAAAGCGATATTAACATGAATATTGAGAAAAAATCAAGCTTTATAAGGGGATTAAGTCTATTGATTCTTAACAAAATTTGAATGAAAATGGGGGTTAAGAGGTGTTGAAATATTAAAAAAATCCTAACTTAAAAACGAAAAATAATATATAATTTAAATTCTTTAGGAAAAATCAAGCTCTATAAGTCTATTGATTCTGAAAAAATTGATTAAAAATTGGAGGTTAAGGGGGGCCTGTTAAATTGTGAAGAGGATATTAGTATTAATATTACATTGATGACGCATGGAAGCTTCTTATATTTATTTTTAAAAAAGTTTTTTATAGGTGTTGGTCTTGGTTCGGAACTTTTTTATACCGAAATTCCTAAACATAAATATCGTGAGAACAATGCGTTACAAAACTGCTGTGAAATGGAGCCTTTGACAGAATGTCCTTCTGCAGACGATTTGACATCCAATGATGTCGAGAGTTGGCTGGAAACAAGTTCAAAGTACCATAGCTGTGAAATAGTCGATATGGATTGAGAAAAGTTAAATTTAAATATTTCTGAATGTTAAAATTATTTTTTATTGAAGCAAAGTTTAAATTCTTTGTTATATTCCAATTTTAATGATTAAAATATATTATAACATGTTATTTGTAATTTGTAAACACTTCAACTAACAAAAATTAATGTAAGAGAATCGTTCTGTTATTTTTTTTTTAATAAATTGTTCAACTATGCTTCCTGTTTGTTAGTATTTTGTATTAGTTTTTAGGTACTTCTAATATTTAATTTTTAAAAATATTTGTAAATTTCATGTGAACATCAAAACCTATTAACGAAAAAAAAATATCCCTAACGAGTTCTACTTATATTAGTATTTGATAGGTTTGTAATCGAATTTTTGGCAAAAACAATAATTTATTTTTATATAAAAACAGACTTTCGACAAGATATATCACTTAGTTACTACAGTCCACAACTCTATCCAGGCTACAATAATTTGAGAAAAACATCGCTGATATCTGTGACAAAAAACATTATCCCAGACCTCCCAAACCTCCTAGCTCGTGAGCCAGCCTACAAATTTAATATAGTCATATTAGCCGATTTTAGCCGATACTCGCCGAACACAAATCTTCTAATAAATGAGAGCGTCGAGCAATCGTAAAGGATATGCTCGATTGTATCATCTTCTTGTTCACACTCTCTGTAGAGTGCGGATTCTGACAGCCCCATGATATGGAGATGCTTTTGTACTTGGCAATCACTAGTCAGAATGCCTGTGACTAGGCTCAGATTCTGTCTAGTCATAGTCAAGTATTTGTTTGCTGCTGTGTTGTCAGGATAACTTAAGAGCTCCCTGGCAACTCTGCAGTTTCTTGATTTATCCCATCTTTTCTTGAATTTCACAAGGGAATGTTTATTGATTAGGTCTGTCACTACCGATTTTATCAGGCCAATAGAAGGCCAGGTTCAAAAAGTATTTGGTTGGCTGCTTTCTTGGCTAGTGAATCAGCAAGGCGGTTACCTTTGATCCATCTTAAGGTGACCACATTGGTGATGGCTACTTCGGCCAAAGCTTCGTGACATCCTAGTACTAACCCTGAGTAAATTCGTGATCTGTTCAGGGTGAGTAGTGCTTGTCTGCTATCTGTATAGATGAGCATGTTCCTTCCAGTGATATTGTTTCTGGTTATTTCTTTTGCTGCTATGAGAATCCCCGTTAGCTCTGTTTGAACCATACTGGCACTATTGCTCACAGCCCATTTTATGTTTAGGTTTAAGAATCTGGAGTATATATTCCACATCCTGAGCCTTGTTTTGTTTTAGAACCGTCAGTGTAGATATGAATCGTACCTACCACTTCCAGCTCTTCTATTTGTTCTATTATCACTTTATATGGCTTATGGAAGATATATCTCGGTGAGATGGAGTTCATGTTCGCTTGAAGCAGTGGGAGCGTATCGAGCGCCTCCTGCCAAAAGCGACGTCTCGCCTCACCAGATCCTACATCAGGTTCTATTCCAACCGTGCGGAGGCGTGGCATTGTCGTCAGAGCAATCCTCTTAATGTAAATATCTAGGGTAGTGAGACTAAGAATGACTTCCATGGTCGGTGTTGTTTTCATGGCTGCTGTTATGTTGAGACATGCTGTTCTTTGAATTTGTTCTAGTTTACAGATACCTGTTAATTTTTGGGTTTTCGGTACCCAGACAACTGCACTGTATGTAAGCATAGGTCTTATGATACCCACGTAAGTCCATGTGACGACTCGGGGGAGAAACCCCTGGTGCGCCCCACGGTTCGGCGGCATTGTTCATAAGCAATGTATGCTCTTTTAACTCTGTTTTCTTAATGCGAGTTCCATGTTAACTTGCTGTCAAAAGTGAGACCTAGGTACTTCACCTCTGTTGCAAAGTTTAGTTTTGTGTTTAGGAGTTCTGGAGGTTTTAATTCCATTTTCATCCTTTTTCTTGTGAAAAGGACCATTTCTATCTTCTTAGGATTGATAAACAATGAATGGTCCTTGCACCACTGTTTAAATGTGAAACTTTAAAGGAGGATGCTAAAAGAGTAGCAGTTGCTGAACTTCATATTAATAAACGAAGCTGCAAAAAGTTTTATCAGCCTTAAATTCAACAAAAATATTAAGTGAAGAAAATTATGATACTCTATCCATTTGCATTGATTATATGGCCAATCTTTAATTGCCGCAAATTCCTGTGCAGGATCATTACTATTTCCGTCAACTTACAGTATGTACGTTCGGAATCCACAATATAAAAACAAATATACGAGTTGCTATGTATACCATGAAGAAGTGGCAGGCAAAGGAGCAAATGATGTTCTTATGTTCTTTTTTAAAGCATTACTTTGATCAAGATGAAGAGCATACATTTAAATAACTTCACATTTTCTGTGACCACTGTTGCGGACAAAATAAGAAGAAGATTTTCAATGAGTTTAGTGGAACTTAAAAGATTTGAGGAGATACAAATTTACTTTCCTCTGGGAGGTCATTCGTTTATTATGCCATGCGACCGTGACTTCGGTTTGATCAAAAGGCAACTTAACAAACACAAAAGATATACAGGAATATATCGAAATAATCACGAACGCTTCAAAGGATCCACAAAAAAACTCAAATGTCGAGGTTTCAAGAGATTTAGGGGGTTATGATTGACAACCTCTGTTATTTTTAACAGGTCTGTTATTTTATAAACACAGAAATTACAACCTGTTCAGAAATAACGTGTCTGTTAAAAATAATATTATTTGTCCATCATAACCCTTTTAGTGTTTGATTACAAAAACTGGAGATCAGATTTTTACAGAAGAAGTTGTTTGAGTAACGGATCATACGAAACAAATGTACCAGAGCAAAAAATCATTCACTATCTCATCATTTTACCACATGACCATTTCTTCTGCTGAAGAAGTAATTTGCCGAGAATTTATAAATGCTCTTGTAGTTGATACATTTCGACTGAGGAACACTAAAGGTACAATAACCTACCCTACAACAAAAGTTTATACCAAAAAGCTTCCCATTAATGAGAAAAAGATGACTGACATAAATAACTATCAGATTTATTCTGGACACTTATTTGGCATTTTGGGACGAAATGACTGCACGACCCACTGAAGAAAATGATCAAGATGAATAATAAATACATTTGAAAAGGAACTTTGTAAAGAAAAAAAAACCTAAAATAGATTTTTGTCCAATAAATAACTTATTAGATTTCATTTACTGCAGAAAGGTGACATATCCACAAGTCAAATTTGGTAGGTACCTGCGCAAAGTAACAATATTAAAAAAAAATTCAGTCTATTCTAACTTATACTAAGGGTCCTAAAGAGTATGCGTGAGATTACAGAATGTCTTCAACTTTGCAGATCTGCACATATGGCGGCAACTTTGAAGATCTGCAAATAACACTAAACCAAAATCCATTACTATGTTTAAAAACTCGATAATCTGACACTACGAACTATATTCAATCAAAAGGAAAGGAAATGAAGACTTCATGGTTATTAAAAAAAAAAAAAGCAAAAATTGACGATCTGCAAGTTTGTAGGATGATTTGAAGACGCAAAAAGTGAAAACACGTTTCTGAAATGACATGTTTCTCTTTTGCAACTGCAATTGATATTTGCAGATGCAAGTACAATTTGCAGAGCTTCTGTAATCTTGCCCTATATCCACAAAATTTGAAATAAAAATATATTTTTTTAGAGACATTAGAAGGTTTTTAATTTCCTGAATAATTATTAAGATTATTTTAAAAAAATACCTTGTTGCCAGACTTTTTCGCTAGCCTGTATAGTAAAATACGATTAGACCATGTAATAAAAACCTTTTTTTCCTGTCCTTCACATCCCCTTTCAAATATTTATTTTATTTGCGTCCGGTTTCAATCATTCGCATTAAAGAACATGATTCCTGGAATAGATTTTCTGTAATCCAAACTGATTTTATGTCAAATCAATGAGAACGAAGACACAAGACGTAAACAACATAATATTTTCATAGATATACGACCACATTGGTTTAAAATTTCAGAATTTAACTAGTAATTGAATATGTACATGTTTTTGTATTTGGAGACTATTTACTAATACCAGGAATATACAAAAAATTTTGTTTCATGACCTATTACGAGGAACACTGCTAAAGTTCGAGGTATCGAATAAATAACCTTAAACTGTCTCACTCAATATTGGTATAGGATAAAAATGGGTGCTTCTTGTACTTTCATTGTATTGACAAAATTTCCTTTTCTTAAACCTTTTTTTTTTCTAGTCTTCTGGTGTAATTTCTTGGAAATAACGTTTATTAAATTAATATATGTTTTCTTTTTATTTCATATTCCCAAAGCTTTCAGTCCCAACTTAGGCGGCGGGCTTCTTTGATGATTTTATTTAAAGTTGTGTTTTAAGTGCTTAAAACCTAATGCTACTTCAAAAGTCAGAAGACTTGGAGGAAGGCCACATGAGACTCATGTAATCACAAAACAATCATAATCATCACCCCCAAAGGTAATTAAAAAAGTAAAAAAGGGGATAAAAAGGGATGTATAAAAAAACTAAAAAAGGGTATCAAAAAAGGGGATTAAAAAGGGATTTCAAAAGGGGATTAAAAAGGGCACTGAAAATGGGATTAAAAGGAGAATTAAAAAGAAATTAAAAGGTAATTAAAAAGGGATATTGAAAGGAAAATTAAAAGGTGATTAAAAAAAATCCTGCTTTTATGTTTTACCACTGGTAGACAGTTTGGTTGACAAGACAAAGCTGTCGGTCTGCGAGGAAATTTTTGTTTCGGTTGAAATATTTTACAGATATTAATAATTAGCGGATATTGATTGTTTTATAATCATATTTGAAACTGACTTTCCTACGCAACAAATTTCTCTCAATTTATTGACGGTTTTGCATTGGAAAATTGCTTCTAAAATCATGACAAAGTGCAATTTTCTATAAGAACGTTTATCTGTGATACACAGGTGAGTTTTCTCATAAATATTTAATTACATTTTTACTTTCAAATAATAAACACGGCTATATGTAGCTAAACTTAATTAAATAAATATTTTGACTTGTACTAATTTAGTTATCTGGTCACAAATCGAGATTTAAAATAATTGGCAGTGGTCAGTGGAGAAGCCACCATTGTGGGGCGTGAGGGGCAAAC